ACCAGCCACCCTGCGGAGAAAACCCATCTCGGCCGCTTGTATCCGCGATCTCGTTCTTTCGCCGTTCAAACCAATTATTTAAATTTGTTTGTTAAATTCGGCATCATGTGAGTTGCGCTGACAGGTCCACACACTGCTTCCCCGCAGCGAGGCTCCCCCCGCCCTCCTGTTGACAGTTCACAAGCGTCGAGCCCCTCAAGACCCGTGTATTTAGCTAGTTCAGAGAGAATAATCAACATTGATCTCAACAAGATAGAATGATAACACATCTATCAGCTGATCCAACAGACACTAACATAGAACCATAACACCTCTATCAGCTGACGCCAACAGGCAGGAACATAGAACCATAACACCTCTATCAGCTGACGCCAACAGGCAGGAACAGGGAGACAGAACACAGAGCACAGCAGCCAAGGTTACAGGTGCGTGTGCTCAGTCAGGACAGTTTGAACTGATACACTGGGTCAAAGTTATGGGCCTTGGAAATTATTCCCCAACATGGACCAATAGGCATTATATGTTATTTATATCTTAGTACGAAGTCTCTTTAAATGTGTTATTGGAGTTGTGATACAAGTCGGATAAAAAGGATAAGAAATGAGGTGATAACTGACTTGATTTATTGACACATGGTAAAAAGGACTTCCATAACTTTTTATGATAAAATAAATTGTTGGGAATAAATACAAAAAAACTGAGGATGTGGAAGGGGTGCTTTTACTTTGACGGGAACAAGCTGTGGATGTTTCCTTTTCCTTGGTCGTTTGTAGTTGCAGTAAACAGCTTGGAGAGTCCGTAGATGAAAGGAGCAAACTAAAAAGGGTTTTTTGACAAAAAATGAGAATAACTACCGTGGTACAGTTCTGTTTCCAGCACTCATGCTTCAATCTGTTCCTCTTTCAGGGCTTGTATTTGGCTCTCCTCCTCTTTTCTGTCCGTTACATTTGTCTCCGTCTCCTCCTCCTCCTCCTCCTCCACTGTCAGTGGCAACCACGACTCTTTGTGCAGCCTCTCGCTCGTCTCCACCTCCTGTACACTGGGTGCAGATGTCGCCTGCATGTCTGCTGGCAGGTCTTTGAACTGTTCCTCGTTCACATCATAGTCCTTCATCTTTGATTGCAGCACCCACCACCTGCCCACGAAGCCCACATCGAGCACGCGTTCATGGAGCTCCCTCCAGGGGACGGACAGATTGGAGCACTGGGCTTCGTACAGTGTGGCGTCGGGGTCGTAGTCGGCTTGGTAAGCCAGAGCGAGGATCCCCAGGCTGAGGACACGGAGCCGGCCCTCGTTACGGAGCTTCCCCAGACTCTGTACGTGTCCGTCCGAGGTCCCGTTGCGGATCCAGGGCGACAGCAGGCCCAGCTGGCCAGAGCAATCCAGAAGGGTGGCTTCGAAGGCCTGCTGGTCGGGTCGGGTGTAGAAACAGGCCCAGGTCCCGCCCAGCAGAGAGGCGTATATGGAGGCTTTGATTGGTCGCTCCCACGATCCCACCACCACTTCCCGACACGCCTCCTTGTAGTCAGTGAAAAGGCCGCGGCACCACATACCTACAGAGGGAAGGAACCAGCACTTTTAATATTTGTTGTCAGCACCAGGAAGTATTTTGTCATTTACATAATTATTTTTGTCATTTGGATGCTGTTATTTTATTATCCTTGTTTACACTGTACACACAACATCTATTGCATGTCTGTCCGTCCTGGGAGAGGGATTTCAAATTCAAAGATTCAAAGGTTTTATTGTCGTATGCACCGTAGCTATAGTGTAGTTATGGCAATGTAAATCTTAAATACCAAGCTTCTCCAACAATGCAACATAGGGCTGAACGATATACCGTGTCATGGCGATAACCGCGGTATGCGCAGTATTCACACCGCAGGGACGTGCGGTTTTATTCATTTTTTTTAAAAATGCTAACGCACTTTAGCACAGAATTCAAAATAAAGATACCCTTATTACTTATCGAAACTGCACATACAATATATCCGATTAAAGCTGAGACTCCACAGATTATTTAAGTATAGTATCTAAGCGATCCGATCTCGCAACAGGGGAAGCAAACACAGACATCACAACACGTACCTTTTACGGAGCTTTTACGGGAGATCGTCTCACCGTAGCTGTCAATCTGATCAAAAGACGTGTTCAATGGCATTAAAACGAGAAAGAAAAAACGCGGCTGAATCGGTTGATCCATAGGTTGATAATGTATCTGTGGCTTTGAAGCAATTGTTTATAATCCATAATTCCATTTTTATGTAAAAATCGGAGCACAAAAGTTAGCTGCTAATGGTAGCCACCTTGGTGGTATGCAGCTTCCGGATTTGGCTACGCGTCGTCACTCTCACTCCTTATTTGTTCATGTGTTGGTGTGTGTAGAACTTTCCCTGATATTTGACCTTTTTAGACAGATTTAGCACAAAAGAAAACCTCTTTTGGGGCCATTTGGGTGGATTTTCCATATCTCTGGCCCACCTTGCTGGATTTTGACATGTGACATCTCTTTCTGACCGTCAGAGCCAATGGAATCGAGGGGAAATCACACAGTCCTTATTTGGTAATGTGTGTGTGAGACTTCCGCATAGCCAAGACCGGAAGCAGCAGCCACTCTGGTGGCTACCATTAGCAGCAAACTTTTGCTCTGCGATATTTACATACAAATGGAATTATGGATTATAAATTAAATCATTTTTTTTATACAGAGACGTTAAAAACCTATGGATTAACCGATTCAGCCGCGTTTTTTCTTTCTCGTTTTAATGCCATTGAACACGTCTTTTGATCAGATTGACAGCTATGGTGAGACATCTCCCTAGAAGCTCCGTAAAGGTACGTGTTGTGATGTCTGTGTTTGCTTCCCCTGTCCGAGTTCAGATCACTCAGTGATGATACTATATACCTAAATAATCTGTGGAACCTCAGCTTTAATCGGATATCTTGTAAGTGCAGCTACGATAAGTAATAAGGGTACTTTTATCTTGAGTTCTGTGCCAAAGTGCGTTAGCATTTTTCGCTCAGGGGTCATTTAGATGCTTCTTATGAGACTTGTGTTTTGTTTTGGTAAAGATTGTTTGTATCGTCAGTTAGCTGAGATTATTTCCGTTAATCTGGTATAACACATTAATAGGTTCTTAAATATTAAGATCCCCTGAGACACTGTCGTGAAAAAAAAAAAAGTAAAGTACCCGTCGGGACTTTGGGGTTTAACAGGTTAAAAAAAACGCAATATATACCGCAGGGGGGGGGGGAAATCGCGATGATTTTTTTCAATACCGTGCAGCCCTAATGCAACATAATATATATAAAATACATACAACAATACAAATGTTTAAATAAAAAATAGTGCAAGAAGAAACAGAGTAGAATAAAGTAGTGCAAGATTATGTTGCGAGACAAATGTGCCAATGTTCCCCATACATTGTGGGGTTTCTTTGGGAGTTCTTCCTTGTGCTTTGCAAGGGTCTAAGGATAGAGTGTGCTGATGCTGTACAAACTGTAAAGCACCCCTGAGACAAATGTAAAAGTACACTTCTTTCTCACCCCCTGCTCCTGTTTTAGTGTGTGTGTATTGTATGCAGTATTGGTTTCTTGCACCCTTTTTTTCTGACGCCTGGACTCAGCCCTCTTCAGCTGAAGATTGTGTAATTCTGTTATACTTGCTTTTGTCTATGGGTTTAAAAATATAAATAATATGACAACTTTGTTGTGACTGTATTATTTGTTCATCTCTAACTTTGAGGTAATTCGCTTAGTTTTTTTGACCGCACTAAATAGTGAAATAAGAAGAGCCTTGGTGTCCTCAACACACACATCACAATAGGGGATTGGGTAGCATCAGCGCTTTGTATTTTAAGTACTAATTACTTCATGGAAAAGTATAAAGTATAACATTCAGGATTGTCCTTTAAATCCAATGCACAGTATATTACAAAAATAGACTTTAGGTGTCAGTGCTCAACAATAACTGTTTCCCCCAGGATTACAAGTCATATATATATATATATATATATATATATATATATATATTTTATATATGGCTGTATTTATGACTGCCTATGTTTATTAATAATGTCACGTTTTCAACAAGGATGCCGTGTCCCACAAAAGGTTTCTCAGCATCCTCTGTGATGGAGGAGCTAATCATTAACAACTAAAATATATTTTATATTTGATAAGGCAAGATGTAATGATTGTTCAGTGGACCGAAGCTATGCAAACACTATCAGCTAATGTGTGGTGTGAAAACAGCCAAGGCATGACTAGGAAAAGCGACACTATGTCAAACATATTTCAGCTAGCATCTGCAGATGTTAGTTTATATGTGCTAGTTACAATGGCATCTAAAACACATGACAAAACCTGTCTTGTGGTGTGTCGCTTCTCAAAACACATGACAAGTGAACTGTGTAGTATGGAATATAACTTTAACCTGTAAATCGAGAGATACATAGTGGTGTCCCCATCACCTGAACGTTGAATTAACCTTAAGCTTACATTACACTAGCTAACGTTCCAATAGCTAGCATTAGCATATTGAGTTTCTCACCAACTTTACTCTTCTTCAGTCTCTCCCATCTGCTGCCGGGGACCGGAGCCGCTGCTGCCTCCGCCGCCGTGCACAGCGTCCTCCTCAATACACGCCACGAAGCCATTCTAGAGTAATTCAGTCCCGAGTGCAGTCAGTCACCTTCAGGCAGAGCAAACATGCTGATACTCAGGAAGACAGCTCACATGCCGGAGCCAAAATGGCGCCCCTCAAGGTGAATCATTTTCATCTTCCGACAGAAAACTCTACCTCGCAAACGTTCCGCTTTCTGTCACCATAGGCTTTCATATTTTTAATAGATCGTGTAATTGTGTTAGAAACAAACGTTTATTGATATTTTATTGAATCTAATATATCACTCAACTACATATTACACAGTATTATACATTTAAATCAACAAACCTCCTTTTAGAAAGACTCAAATGGGTCACGTGACAGCTTTGTTTACGTGGTGACGTGTACCGGAAGCTAACAGACTGACTGTGAACTCGCTACAAAGACAGACGCTAGCAGTGTGTGATTATTTTCTATCCGTTTATTTAACCTACGTGTACTGGGGTTGATATATTTAATCTGGCTTCTGTAAAATATTCAAACAAATGAGAAACATCAGTGTTGTGTGAATGTAGCCGAGCGTTAGCCCAGATCAGCTGTCACACAGGACATCCTGCTGCCGAGGAGCACAGGTGGGTTTCACCTGTTCTCAGCACAAAGCCAAGGAACAACTATAATGTAAACATTATTTCTTAACATTCGAATCTATACTTTAAAGAGATTGCTTGGTAAGGTTGAATATTGGCTAATGGACAGATGATTGATGTATAATACCTTATGTTTGACTGACGGAAAGGAATCCCTAGTATGTAAACGTGTCTTACCTGTGTCTTCTCCTAGGTCTTGTATGAGGTTGCTGTTTGATCACTGAAGCAATGGCCAGTCCTAATGATCTGCAATTCCAAGGTAAAGGCTGAAATGTAAATTAATCTTACTCAGATTGGCACATGTATGCAGGGACGTGCATAGACATTTTGGGGGGCGGGAGCTCAAGTGGGAAAAAGGGCACTTCCCATCATAATTTATAAAAAAATGTTTTAAATCAAAAGGTTAAATATAGTTGCACATCTCTGACTTACTGACCAATTTATTCTAATACCCTCACACTCACGCAATTGTTTAATACTCAACAGAATTCTACTAAATAATCAGCTAACACAGAGACAATGGCCTTCTTTAGTATTCACTACGCACAAGAGCAGACAACAAACTAGTACAATTAATAGTTATTAAATGAGCAGCCAACAATCAAAATTATGAAGTTACTGTTTAAGGACATTACAGGCAAAAAGATCGTGTTTTCATGTACTTGTACATTTTGTTATTTTGGTCTATTTTGGTTCCATGTTTTCTTTCACTCTAATGGAAAGAAAAGTTCCAAAAAACACATATAAATAGTGTTTGCTTTACTACCATGTCTGAATTCATCTATAGCCTAGATTTAAAGCTAATCTGCATATTTAAACTAAAATAACATTTCAGGGGAAAATACTGACTTGATGTAAGTAACTATCTGGGGAAGTTGTGAGGTGATTTGTTTTTGTTTTTTATCCTTTTCACCTGCAATGCCTTGGTAACTGCATGAAAATTAGCGCATTTTAATTAAGATAAGAGATAAGATAGTAGACTACTTTATTACTAGTGTACTAGTTAACACCTAATTTGCATATCAATGTGGCGATTGTGATGACGTTATTAGATACACATTTTACTGTATTCACCTGTAGTGTCTCCTCTTAAGTACAGTTGGCTACATTAGCCTGAATGTCATGATACATTGCCTTAGCTAAACCTTGAGCTAGCTTATCCATTAGCTAGTAGCCTACCTTAGTTAACTATTTTTGTCTTTTGGCTAATTAGCTGTAAACTCGAGGCACTGGCAGTTTAGTCATTTGTTCATCACCACTCACCTTCAAACAAGCCAAGAAAAGCCGGCATAACATGGCACAGTAAAGTGGGAGGTGCTGCTACCTGTCTGTCTGAAGTGACAGTTAGGGTGGAGGTGCTGCTACCTGTCTGTCTGAAGTGACTGCCGATGTCCGCACCGCTGTGCGCGAGACGTGGAGGGAGGGAGGGAAGGAGGGTAGAGAGAGCATCGAAACTTCACAGTCTAATCTCCTGACCTGATATTTTTATTTTGTATTCAATCAATATCTTTTTGGAAGGGAAACTGTGCGCAAACAGCAGTAGGCTAGATATATATTCATTTATTGGAGAAAAAAAAAAGCACCCCATAAAAAGGGCACTTTCTCTGGAGGAAGAAAAAGGGCAAGGGCTCAAGCCCACTTTGATGTCTATGTGTGCACGTGCCTGCATGTATGGCTTTGCTATTATAATCCTTCCTAATGCAACCTTTAAACCAAGCTTGCCTCCCAACATGTTAAGGAATGTTTGGGGGCAATTTTGTTAAGTGTAAAAGTATGCATTTCTTAAATGAAAACAAATCTTGTACCAAATGCACAAAGAACAGTGTCATCATATGACTGAATTGAAATGAGTTGACAATGTGTTTCTTACTATAGGCTCTCTCTGGATGTAAAAAGACTCCGGCTAAGGGGGGGTCGTCTCCTCTGAACAGTCAGGGGCGCAGTGAGACATACACGAGAAGCAAGGACACATGATTTGAATTAGAAGCACCTCAGTTCTGCAGTAGATTTATTGTCACCCTTTTTTTGTTTTTTACCCTGCACAATTTGCGCATAGTGTGCTCAAACCGCTTCACTGCCATTCAATTCTTTATTAAAAAAAATACAGCAACTTATTTGCACATGTTTGTTTATAAATATATACATTTTTAGTAGATTTAGTAGATTGAAGAGTACTCTAAATAAGTATGTGTATTTTATGTGAGTATTATTTAGATACTCCATAGATATAAATATGTTCTACTGTTAATATGTGTATATATATATATATATGTTTTCCCATTTTAAATGTTTTGTCATATCTTTAACTTGTGTGTTATACCTTAAACACACTTAAAATGCTCCTTAATGTAACATGTAATCCAATCGAATCAGTTATAGTGAACTCTAGTGGCACATTGGTCATATCTAACATTTATTTGACTGCTTAAGAACTCCAATTTACATTATCCATTTTCCAAATAGTTTGGACTATTTTTTAAATTAGATTAGTAATGTGTACCCTCACAAGTATCACTCAATACCTGTGTGTTGATGCATGTTTGTAGAGTTTGACGAAGCAGCAGAGCTGTTGTCTGCAGACCCCGGGGCCTCCACCCTCAGTATGTCTGCCTCAAACACCAGCACTACAGCAGCAGGAGGGGGAGGAGGGGAGGATGTGAAGCTAGACCTCTCAGAGGAGGAGGGTGAGGAGGAGAGTTCAGAGGTGAGTAAAGTTTCCGTTGAGTCATGACACGATGACATGGGCTGCTGCAGATATTTGATGTTCGATGTCTTGATGTGCTTCCAGCTGTTAGGAGGACAGAAACCAACGGGTGGCTTCTGGACCTTTGAGTACTATCAGTCCTTCTTCAATGTTGACACAGTGCAGGTATGAGACCCACCTCTCTGCAAAAACACTTACATGTCTATGATTATGGTGATTTTGTCAAGGTAAACCAAGATTAACTAAAACATGTACATATTCTGTCATAAAAATTACTTTTGTTTTTGCTTTACGCCCTATCATGTGATGTAGGTCCTGGACAGAGTGAAGGGGTCACTGATGCCATTACCTGGAAGAAACTTTATCAAACACAACCTTAGGAGCAACCCAGATCTGTATGGTAATGTGTTATTTTATATTTCTCTTTTATAATTCTTTAAGATGTCTGGACTATGAAGGCCCTGTTTTAGATGTTTTTTTGCTATTTTAATAGTCATAGGCTACAATGATTGAGGTTAGGAGTGACACTATTTCAAATAAAAAATGGATCAAAGTTAGTTTGGATTTTGAACCTTGGAATGACTCTCTACTGTTGCAGGAAGAAAACACTGACCACGACACTGCATAGTTGCTGCAGCTCAAAGACAACACAGTGTAGTTTACCGTTAGCATACAGCTCAAAAACAACACAGTGTAGTTTACTGTTAGCATACAGCTCAGAAAAAACACTTGTAGTTTATCGTTAGCATACAGCTCAAAGAAACCATAGTGTAGTGTACCATTTAGCAAATAGCTGAAGTACAACACAATGTAGTTTACCATTAGCATACTGCTCAAGCACAACCATGTGTAGTATACCGTTAGCATACACCTAAAAGTCAACACTGTAGTTTACCGTTAGCATACAGCTCAAAGACCACACAGTGTAGTTTTCTGTTGGCATACAGCTCAAAGACCATATAGTGTAGTTTACCATTAGCATACAGCTCAAAGAAACCATAGTGTAGTTTACCATTAGCATATTGCTCAAGCACAATCATATGTAGTATAGCCTACCGTTAGCATACACCTCAAAGACAACACTTCAGTTTACCGTTAGCATATAGCTCAAAGATGAAACGGTGTAGTTTACCGTTAGCATACAACTCAGAGACAACATAACAGTTTATCGTTAGCATATATTATATATTGGCAAGAAAATCTACAAGAAATTGGACAGTGCAATCCGAGAGATCCAGTATGTCCACGTTTTTGAGCAAGTCCACAAATCCAGTCTTTGTCAAGTCTGTCACCACCTTCGCGCAGCTGCTGGCGCCACTTCGTCCGGTCCTCCGCCAGCCTCTCCCAGTTGTCCGTCGCAATGTCCAGGGCCTTCATGTCACGCTTTACGACATCCTTGAAGCGCAACAGTGGTCGTCCTCTGCCTCTGGAACCAGCGCTCAGCTCGCTGTATACGATGTCCTTTGGCAGGCGGCCATCTGGCATTCTGCGAAGGTGACCGAGCCACCGCAGCCTCCTGACCTTCAGTGTTTGGAATATTGACTTGCTGCCCGTGCGCGCCAGCACCGCCTCGTTCGTGACCTTGTCCCGCTATGTGATCCCGAGGATGTTGCGCAGGCACCGCATGTGAAAAGCATTTAGCTCTCTTTCGTGCTGCGCGTAAGTTGACCACGCCTCGGAACCATACAGCAGGACGCTGACCACGCAACATTGGTAGATACGTGTCTTAGTGCGCTCGGTGAGGTATTTGTTGCTCCAGGCTCTTGCGCGCAAACGACTGAAAGACATTGCGGCTTTGCCGATACGAGTCTGGATCTCCTTAACTAACGACAGGTCACTGCTGATTGTTGAACCAAGATACGTGAACTGGTCAACAGTCTCCAGCACATGCTCGTTCACCATTACCGGTGACGCTGCGCTTCCCGCTTGGTGCGGGAAGATGCCGAAGAGCATGGGCGCTAACACGCAGTCTTGCTTGACTCCACTGTGAACGGCGAAGCTGTCTGAAGTAGATCCTTCAAAGAAAACCGTTGCTGACATGTCCTCGTGAAGCAATTTGACCAGCCCGAGCAGTGTCGGTGGGCAGCCCAGTTTCTGCAAGGTGGCGAACAGTCCTTCCCGACTCACCATGTTGAACTCCTTCGTCAGGTCGACAAACGCCATGTGCAGTTGTTTGTTTTGCTCTCTGCACTTTTCTTGCACCTGGCGCACCATGAAGACCATGTCTGTTGTTGATCGGCCACTTCGAAACCCGCACTGTGACTCTGGGTATACGCGAGCGGCCAGTTTCTTTTCCGCACCTGCAGAATTCTGGAGAAGACCTTGCCAAGCATGCTCAGTAGCGAAATGCCACGGTAGTTGTTACAGTCCCCTTTTGTCGCTTTTGTTCTTGTAAAGCGTGATTATCTTGGCGTCTGATGGGAAAGCGCCCGCTTGCCAGCATTGACGGAGCAGCTTGTGCATGTGTGGCAGTAAGCAGCTGTCACAAATGAGCAGGTCAGCCGGGATGCCGTCCGTGCCCGCAGCTTTGCCCTTAGCAGTGTGCTTCAGCGCGTTCACTAGCTCTGCCTTGGTTGGCAAGTTGTCCAGCTCAGCATTGACGTCAAAGCTGGGGGTTGAGGCCAAAGCCACGTGGCTGATGCTCCTTGGTTTGCCATAGAGCTCCGAGTAGTGCTCAACCCATGGTGACATCTGCTGCCCTGTGTCAGTGATCAGTGCTCCTTCTGCAGACTTCAGCGGACACACCTTCTTTGCTCTCGGCCCAATAGCCTTGTTTAGGCCCCTGTACAGTTCCCGCAGGTTACCAGTGTCTGAAGCCTGTCATGTCATCGCAGAGCTTGTTCCAGTACTGGTTAGCACAGGATCGAGCTGTCCTCTGAAGTTCACGCTGCACATCCTTGAGTGCAGTGAGAGAACTCTGTGTTGCCCGTCAGAGGTAAATAATTTGTATAGCCCTCGGAGGATGTTGAAAAAATGCAAATAGCCCTTGAGAGGAAAAAGGTTCCCCATCCCTGGTTTAGAGTTTTTCTTTGATTGGTAGGTGAGATTGTAACGTCCATGCTTGCTGCGACCACCCCATCGAAGCAATAGACGTGGCGGGTCAGAACCTAACTGGCCAGGGGCTGCCTGGCTTGAGGCGGGGTGGTAGATGACCATTGGGGCACGATGACCTCTCCCACTGACGCAGAGGACCCGTGGCGCTCCGTGTTACGCCAATCTGACTGGAGCTTATAACTCGTAGACTGTCGCTCTGCCGTGTTGTTTCCCCGGCGCCTTTACGACACCGCGATGAAGTGTCCTCTCCATTGCACTTGGAATGAGGGCTCCAGCGTTGCCCAAGCTGCAGGAACCACACTTGGCCTCCGCTGGCAGGACTCCAAGGAAAGACAGAGGTCAATACGTTGGCGCCAGCATCGGCTGCAGGAGATGGCCGTTGGCTCACGAGGAGCTCATCCGCTCTTTGACAGGTTTTGTATTTAGTCCTGCTGGGTGTCTCCATCACCTGCCACACAATACCGAGGCCAGGTGGGGGAGCCGGTTTAGTCGCCGTTAGCATACAGCTCAAAGATGACACTGTGCAGTTTACCATTAGCCTGCTGCTCAAACCCTGGATCGCAAATAAATATGAAGTGATGCAACGTAATTAAGATCTCCGCATTTGTTGGGAAATATACTGAGGCAAAGAGTACAACCCAGTGGCTTTTTTATTTTGGACAAAACACAACAACAACCTTATATGCTAATAAAAATCAAAAGGCACAGAACATCTTCCAAACATCTTTTTGTTTCTTACAGCTTTAAAGGGCCAAGTTCGGGACTCAGATTTAGGCTGGAGGAAGATTGTTTGATGAGATTTACAATATTACAGAAAATCTTCATGAACAGTTGTGTTTGTTTATAGGTCCGTTCTGGATTTGTGTGACCCTCGTGTTCTCAGTAGCGATCGGCGGAAACCTGTCCAGCTTCCTCAGTGAGAAGGGGAACCCTTCGTACCACTACAGACCTCAGTTCCACAGAGGTCAGTCCTCAACAAGCTTACATTGACCTCAGTAGTTTTTGCCTTCTTGTATTCAGTCATGCTGAGCCTGGAGTCTTTGCCCTGATTTTTGCTAACAGTGACGATAGCTGCACTCGTGATCTTCATGTATGCCTGGTTGGTGCCCGTTGGTTTATGGGGTTTCCTGACCTGGCGGCAAGGGGCTGAGAGGCAGATCGGAGGCTATTCATTCCTGGAGACTGTGTGTGTCTACGGCTACTCCCTCTTCATTTACATCCCGACCTCGGTAAGTCTATTACCTTTTAAAGTTTTACTAGCAGGTTCAGTGCTTGTTCAGGATTACTTCTTGGTTTACTGTAGAATGTAGTGTAGAATGCACCACAGCAACTGTAGAAAGTAGTGAAAACCTCTATGAAACCTGATGTACTTATATGATTCTGTTTTCTTCAAGTTTGTATATTCTTGGTCGAATGCACTTATTGTAAGTCGCTTTGGATAAAAGCGTCAGCTAAATGTAATGTAATGTACTGTATCGTGTCGAAGTGATATTGAAAAGAGTGTCACTCAACTGTCTGATCTGCTCCATTGTTTGACGTTCATGAGAAACACAAAGACAAGAGGGCTGGATACCTGGGTAGAATTAAAAATAATGATGTGCAGAATCTCAGGAAATGCTTGGACAGATTAAGAAAAATATGAATTATTTTATCAGTACATTAGGTGAGCAGTGTTATTTTCCTTTTTCAAACTGGGTTGTACACTAGTTGTTGTACCCTACTGGTTACACAAACTGTATCTTACTAGATAGCAAGTAAAGTAAAAAAGATTGTCACTAGTTAAATAGTGACCATGATATTTTTCTCACTAGTTGACTAGCAAAATACATTTTTGTCTCACTCGTCTGGCTCCAACATGTTGGGTTTTTCCTTTAACTAGTTAAGTGTTGCCCAGTACTAGTGAGCGGCTGTAGAACACCGGTTCAATATTATTGGCCTATTTTATTTGTGTGTGACTAATTGTGGTGTTCAGCTTTCTAACAACAAAATTACCTGCTAGTTGACATGTATGTTCAACCAGTTAAACTAGTGACCAAAACTCACTTGTCAATATTTATTTAGTGCACATAAGTGCTTAACTCAAGTTAACGAGTCAACATCTGTGCCTTGACTAATAAACATGTAACAAAGTGTATGCAACTAGTTATCAAGTAAAGGCAAAATTAACCAAAGTAGTGAATATTTTGACCTATATAAGTTAACCTGAAAAACAAAGTCTCTAGGCCATTTTGACCAAGAGCAAACGTTAGCGAACATAGCCAGGCTTTCTGTTGGCCAGGCAGGCGAGGTAACTGCATTACCACGAGTCCTCAACAACACACATGCCAAACGTGAAGTAGATCAGTCCAAAAGCTGGCGAGATAATCAAAACTCAGTCACAGGATGATTGCAATGTGCTGTCTTCTCCAGGTTCTGTGGATCATTCCCTTTGAATGGTTGCGCTGGACACTGATCCTAATTGCCATGGTGATCTCTGGCTCAGTTCTGGTCCTCACTTTCTGGCCGGTTGTGCGCGAGGACACCAAGGTGATGGCAGTGGCTACAGTGGTGACCATAGTGGTTTTGCATACGCTGCTGGCTGTCGGCTGTAAGGTGAGTGACGGCTTTATACGGCTTACACATTTAACCTAGACAGAATAATATTACATAATGATAACAATAAATGTTTATGTTTTCTTTCAGATGTACTTCTTTCAGACCGAAGTCCATGTTCCATCAGCGGCGCCTATTACCCCCACGATTAACATGACAATTGCCACGAAAGCCCACTAACCAAAAGGGTGCTGGCAGCGAGGAAATTAAGGAAGTGCCTGTTGTTTGGAATCACATGCAGCTATAAAATATGTAGAAGCAGGAGGGTTAAGTGATATGTTCTATAGTAGCGTGATTAAGCGCTGGGACAGGAGTGTGGTTGTTTGTCTCATTTATCCTGAGTTGGGTCTACTGGGACACTGCAATATTTCTACATTTTTACTGTGATGTTTCAGGATGTGGTGCAACGTATTAGTCCACATAACATTGTGATTTCCCCGAAGATTCACACAAAGTTATTATTTAGAAGAATTAGTTAGAATTACTCATCAGCAGAAGGGAAAAATATCCAAACCAGTTACAATCAGAAAACCATGCAGCCAGCAATCATTACTTCTTACGAGTTATCAAAGAGACAACAAGGTATCCATCAGTACGTGTTAATATTATTATTGTTGGCAACAATAGGATCTCGTAAAAAAAAGCTATGATAAAGAACCCAGTTTTACAAAAAATGTCACCAAAGCTGTTGAAACTAACATTGGTGAGGACAGAGAACTGCCACCATGATTATTTGATCATTTCATGAAGCAGGGGATTACACATTTATTTTTGTAGTGGTTTAGTTTACAAAGGATTACAAATAATTTGAGAAAAGGCTCGTTCAACATTTTCCAAGCCCAAAATTATGATTTTGTAGTAGGAGGTCTGAAATATTATTTGCTGGATAAATCCGAGAATATTGTGAAAACAATACTAGGGGGTATTATCATACTAGGAAATACACAGGTTTTTCTGATAACATTAATGATAGCTTTGTTCTATCGATCCAGAAGCCTAAAGCTAAAGTAGCTAAATGGAATTCAGCTATCATTAATTTCCCTATTGAAACTTTATACACATATCATTCAAACTGTAACTATAGGCTACCAAGTAATTTTGAGTTTTAGATACCAGGAGTTTCTGACATTATTGCCACCTCCCTCGTGTATAAAAAAAAGTGTTAAAAAAAACAAATGGCTGCAAGACAACCAACAATGGCATTTACATCCAATCAATTCGACACATTTTAACTGAGCAAATTAGATAATCCGCCAATCCGGGCTAGTTAAATGATGAGACTGCAAGGCTAGAAGCTATGCCTGAACGCTACGTTTTTTTTGCGCTGCTGTATACTTGGGTAAACCCATGAAAGTAAACCCAGCCAAAAGCAATTATTTAAAATAATTTGTTTTTCTGACCAAATACCTTTAAAACTACTTAGTGCATTAGCTTCAGCTGTATTTTGTGTTAATTGCTAATTAGCCAATGTTAGCATGCTAATTAAGATGAACATAGCAACATAGTAAGTTAGCCTTTTTCATTTATGGTAAGCTGCTGCTAACATTATTTGAGCTAACTCAGTTAGTCACAGAGCTACTAGCATGGCTGCTGACTTTGACATTAGCTCAGTTAGCCACAAACCTACTAGCAGGGCTGAAAACTATTCTCTCTTAGTGAATAAATGACATGTCCTGTTAATAGTTTCTATCTAATAAATAATCAGATGGTGCAGGGTTAAGAACGTTTCAATTATCTAAGAGTGATGCACCCCTCTCCAACCTGTAAGGAACCTTCACTTACAAAATGAGTTTTTGTGATGTTATTGCAGTTAGGATTAATTGTAAATTGAGAAATGTGTTTATGTTTGCAGAACTATTTATTCCCTACTGTGATGCTGTTTAGGGATTTTTGTTGTTAATAAACGTTGTGCTTTATCCAGTATTTCATCTTAATTTAATTAATTTGACAATAAGACAATCCTGAGTTCTGATTGGTTAGTACGTTTCCTTTTGTACTGGAGAGCCAATGGGAAGTCTCAAATAACACATGTTTCCACCTACATCAGCATTTCATCAAACTAGTTTAACGTAAAAGTGCACGTTGTAAGCCTCACAAGTTAACTAAGAACATGGTCCGTGGTCAGTGTATGTTTTGGTCATTGGATTTTCTTTTCACAAAAGGATATTCAAAAACAAAAAACGACTGGATATTTGATTTCGTTTTAAAATAGAAAAACCAAAATTGAAATACAAGGCGTTTTTCTTTATCATGGTCAAAAAGGGATTTACTAAACTTAAAAAACGGGATGATTTTCATTTTCTACTTCTCAAAACAAAAAATAAAATCAACAGAAAAACTACCGTTTTTTCATATTCTGCTACCGGAAGTTACCTTACAAAATAAGAGCGCAGACGAAACTCACGGAAGTGATTACAAAACAAAAGCACTCGTATGCTGAAATCACACTTGTAATCACTCATGTTGAAGGAACGGTGATTATTATAAACAAGGGACATTTAGCGATCACAACGAAAACGGCCAAGACACACTTTGAGCCCCGAAAACGAATGTTATTAAGGGCTGCCTGTAAATATAATAAGCCTGTGTCTAAAATGGACAACATTGTTAGGAGATTTAAACTATACAGCGATTCTGCACTGTGGTCACTCAGCCGTCTCTCGAGTTTGTTTTTTCAAATCTGCTCTTCATTTTTTACCACAACTTCTTAAGAAAACTGACACTGTTGGACTCGGTACTAGTTTGACTTCTACCAGAAATAAAATGAAGTACTTTTACTGTGTACTTTGTTAGTAATCCTCTAAGTCCCCTCCATAGTATTTGTATTTGATACAAATAAAATGTTACCATTTGTTCTTAATGAAATTGATCATGTTTGACTTTGTATTAGTTAGCCTACTACTAATGATACATTGAAGTAATTTGACTGTGTACTTTGTGAGAAATCCTCTGTCAAAGTCCCCTGCTGAGAACAAAATCAAGCCACTTTGCTAAGTTTGATGAGGGAATTATTTTTTGTTGCCATTAGTTCTTCGTAAGATTGATCCTGTTGGACTCAGTACTACTGAAACTACCCCCACAAGTATATGAAGTACTTACTGTGTACTTTTCCAGTAATCCTCTGTCAATGTCCGCTCCTGAGCTATTTTGAATAAGCGTTAAAAAACCTTTCTTCCTGAGACTTATATTGTTGGAAAGAGTATTTTTAAGAGGATGGTGCACATGATATCAGCAATACTTCCAGTCAGTACTCCGGCAGCAGCATTTTACACCTTGGAAAGTCTTTAGAGACTGGCCTGGATAGCTGGTCACAAATATCCTTCACCAAAGTGACACACTTTGTAACTCTTGTTGGCCTCTTATGATGCTGCTGTCTTTTAATATATGATTATTTCTCAGCCGCTAGTTCGTTCCTCGCAGATTCTTCAGTCTCATCAGCCTCCTCCTTCCATCAGTCCCAGTCAACGCCTCCAGCACACTTCCAGTGTCTGACTCCTATGATATTGTCCTGATGCTGTAAGGGTGATGCCCCATGATCACAAAATGACCCCTCTAGAGTCTGAGTGCCAAGGACCTCATTATGTCTGTCATTAATGTTACATCATCCATTATAACAATTTTTCTTTCCTTTTTTCTCTTCTCTTAACTGAATAGTCCTGTCTTTAAGTGTAATATTACATTACATTACATTACATTGCATTTAGCTGACGCTTTTGTCCAAAGCGACTTACAATAAGTACATTCGACCAGGAAGATACATAATACAATGTAAAGTTCTGCACCATTTTAAGGCTTCAAAAACAGCCATTTTTACTGTATGTGTTTGGAGAAATGACACAATCAATGGCTCAGAATTGTGCTTTAAACTCTGAATCTTGTGGTGCTTGAATAAATACAGACTGGTTAAGCCGGCCAGGATATATATGTCTTTTTTGGAGCCCTTTTTTGTAATATGTATTAGTTATTTAAACAAACCACTATGAGGATAATACAAGCAACCATAAAAGGCTCTTTATCTAGAGAGCCATTGAAGCCCATGAAGAATGTATCCTTCCACAAATCTTTTCATCTGCTGTATTAATAAAGTTGCCAGTGCCATGTGTTTTCAAATTCAAGTTAAGGCACTATCTGTGCAAAACATTACAAATATTCTTAATTTGCAGTATTTTATTTTAAAAGTGTTCAGAAAGACTGCATCAATGATATGCTATATATCTATATCATATCAATATTGTTATTAACTTCAATCAAAGTCAATTTAAATAGCGGGCAAGACTTTCCAAGAGGTAAAAATGCTGCTGCCGACTGACTGGAAGTAGGCCATTGTTGATATCATGTCCTCTTAAAATACTCTGTCCTAACAATGTTGTCCATTTTAGACATAGGCCTATTATATTTACAGCCATTAATAACATTCATTTTCTGGGCTCAATATGTGTCTTGGCTGTTTTCGTTGTGAAAACAAATGGATACACGGATTGACCGTCATCTGCGCTCTTATTTTGAAAGACAACTTCCGGTAGCAGAATATGAATTTTTTTTAGTTTTTTTGTTTAGTGTCTAGTGATTTTATTTTTTGAAAATCATCCCATTTTTTAAGTTTAGTAAATCCATTTTTGACCATGATAAAGAAAAACGCCTTGCATTTCAATTTTAAAACGAAAATCAAATATCCTGTCATTTTTTGTTTTTGAATATCCATTTGTGAAAAGAAAATCCAATGACCAAAACATACACGGTCACAGGTAAATATTGGCACTTTCTCATTTCAACAAATCCCCCTCCTCGACTCCTCGGTCCTCCGGTAGTGACCCGGAAATTTATTTTAGCGCGCCATGTTGAAGGAGATCTCATTTCTCTAAATGCACTTCGAGGAGGCTCTCTGGAAGAGCTATAACCGAGGATACACTGATGGGTCCTCCACGGCTCCTTCGTGGATGCATTTCCGGGAACAGAGATGTTTCAAAGGCCCTTTCTCATTTCTCGAACTCCCCTCCTCGACTCCTATCCTCGAGACTTAGTCCCGCCCACAGGAGATGCGAGCGGAGGATAATGAGACAATAACAGGCTACACACACACACACACACACACACACACACACACACACACACACACACACACACACACACACACACACACACACACACACACACACACACACACACACACACACACACACACACACACACACACACACACACACACACACACACACACACACACACACACACACACACACACACACACACACACACACACACACACACACACACACACACACACACACACACACACACACACACACACACACACACACACACACACACACACACACACACACACACACACACACACACACACACACACACACACACACATATATATTTATATAAATATATACAATTTCAGAATCAAACAGAGCACTCTCATAATAACGTAACACTATCAGAGACTGGATATATCCCCCCCCCCTCTCTGGTCGCTACAATGAGGAAAATAAATTACGGGCCAAACGTTTTATTTTCAAGTATTAAAAGTAAGCAGAGGACACCAAACCAACTGAGACCGGTCTGTCCGCTGCATCTACGCACTGTAAAAAACGTGCGTCACGACTCTTTGAAACATCTCTGTTCCCGGAAATGCATCCACGAAGGAGCCGTGAAGGACCCATCAGTGTATCCTCGGTTAGAGCTCCTCCAGAGAGCCTCCTCGACGCTCGATGCTCGGTCCTCGACGTGCATTTAGAGAAATGAGATGTCCTTCAACATGGCGCGCTAAAATTCATTTCCGGGTCACTACCGGAGGACCGAGGAGTTGAGGGTTGCGTTCCGATAATCCAAAAATCAGCTCCTACATTCTAACCCTATCTCCTATCCTTGACCTCTGAGTGAAACGTCACGGGGTTAAGGGATAGTGGATAGGAGAATTCAAAAGGACTTAGGAGAAGAGACTGCGGTACTTTAGAGAATCCGAATGCACTTTCACTATCCGACGTGTTTATGATGCGCCAGCGGACGTCATGAATGTGCGTCTGCTGCTGTGGGGAAACTATGCAACTAGGTCTGCTTCTCAGGTCGACTATTTTCATTTCCTCGCTCCTCGGTCTCACCGGAAGTTGATTTGCCCGCGCCATCTTGAGTACCGTCCCATGGCTCTTATTTCTGCCGGAGGACCGAGGATCGAGGAGCGATCATGGAGGAGCGATAACCGAGGAACCACCAGACCATCCTCCGATGAAATCCTCAGATACTCACCCCGCCCCCTTACTGTGTATCGCTCACTGATTGGACGAGGCAGTGCATGCACTGATCTGATGCTTCTTGACATGAGAGCAGAGTGAAGAAAATACATGAACCTCACGGGAGTCACTCCTCAGTTTATACCGTGTTTTGTTTCAATTAATGTATCATTTAGTTACAAATATGTGATATATCTGAACAACAAAGTGGTCAAAAATCATTTAATTCATTTATTGGAAACATTTTCATGATCGCTTTTTTCGTTTTACATTTTCATTTATTGTCATTTCCATTCAGTCAGTCATTAAGTGCTATTAAAATGTTAATGTGCTACATATCCAAACAAACAAACAAAGTGTGCAATCCAATGAATGTTAATCTAACTGGGTTTTGATAGATAACATATCTCTTTTTCTTCTCTCAATTATTTTATTTCTATTGTGCACTCTAATCAATATTAATCAAACTATTGTTCGTTTATAAATTTTAAGAATGGCGTTTATCTTTTTTGAGAATGAGTTCTTATTTTATTTTATTTATTGGGGTCTGCAACAGATGATACAAATGTTTGTGTCAGTAAATGTGTACTAACAGAGGCGGGGGTGTGTGTGGAAATAACGGGGACAGAGCTGCTGTCAGACGATCAGCTGTGCAGCGTCATCACAAACGGACGTCGCTTCACG